TACCTGGCCCCAGACCATCAGCAGCGGGGTGGGGGAACACAGAGGCAGCCTCCCCCCAGTGCATCTGAAGAAGGGCAGCATCTGGAAAAGAAGAGCAACGAATTCTTAAGATGGAGACATCCTGGACATCTTTATTTGTGGGGGAGGGGGTAGCTCCAAAACACTCCTGCTCACTTGCGGTGGGGCTTCTTTGGAGGCTGAGGAGCACACCAGTTGTTTCCTCAGGTCCCTTGGAGCCCCTGGAATGGGGAAAGGGGGAGACTGCCCGAGGCGCTTGGGCTTTGAGGGGGCCTGGCGACAAGCCGGCTGCAGGCTTTGCTTTCTCCGTCTCTGCGATGGTTGGAAAGCCATTCCAAAGTCCCTCCTGCGTCTTGCTTGCATGCTTTGCGGGCGGAGGAGTCAGATCAAACCACGAAGGAGATGCCGCTGCCTCGCCCAGTTGCCTCCGAACCGCCGGGAGTCACGGAAGGCCATCGGGTGCAAATGTCTGTCCTGCCTCTTCATTGGGACTCATTGCCGAGGAATTTGGAGGCTCTGGAAGCCTCTCTTCTTTTCGTTTCTGCTAGCAACAGTCACGTGCCCTTGCACTGGAACCGTGCCTGAGGGCTGCCCCGGTGTGCCTCGCGTCCTTGTTCTGAAGGGGAATCTGACGGTGCCAGGAACCGGGTGCGCCGAAGGAGAGGTCCTAGAGGAGTCGTGTTCTTAGGCCTGCTGGGATGGCCGTGCAGGAGGCCCTCATGGTCGTTCTGGCGAGGTGGCTTCCCGTCTGGGGATGAGGGTTGGTTTCAGGGCACAAGGAAGAGGCGATCTCTCTTTGACTCGGAGGCACGCTGCGGGGGAAAAGGATGAAGGCTCCTTCAGCTGGGTTGGACCTGAGCACTGGTGCTGCCTCTGGCACGATCAGCAGTTGGCTGTCACTCGGTTTACGTGTCGGGCTCCCTTGTCGAGCTGTTCAGGCTTCTTATCCTGAGCATCGGTCTCCACGCTTACCTAGATTAAGTAATGGCAGATGGTGGCGATGTGCATGCGTCCCCAGTGTGCTCCAGCAGCCCTGCATTGGCCTTTTTTCCTGGCCTGGTAGGGGAGGGCTTGTGTACCCCCATCTTTCGCTTCCCTTCTTCATCTCCCGCTCTTGTGTGGTTGTGGCAAGGAGAAGAGAGGTCCTCCACCCTGGGTCAGAGCTGGGTCTGGGCATCCTTTGAAAGTGGTGTTGACGAAGGTCTCTCGCTCTGCTGTTTGCTAAGGAGTCTGATCTTTTGCAGGCTTCCCCTTGAGAAGGAATCCGCTTGTTAAAATCCGTCCAGCTCTATCAGGCTGGAAGACCGAAATGGGAGAGTATGCTGTAATGGGGAAATTGGCAGTTTGGATCCGTAACACAAGTTTATCCAAGTTCAAGCAAGAATGGCTCCCTTATATACAACCCAGCAAGGCAGATTTGAGAGCCAGTTTGGCTAGCGGTGAAGGCGCTGGGCTAGAAGCCAGGAGACCGAGAGTTTCCTCCGCCCTCAGGCACGGAAGCCGGCCGGGTGACTTTGGGCAGCCTCTCCCTACAGCCCAGCCCACCTCACAGGGCGGTTGTGGTGGGGAACACGGGAGGCAGGAGGGTTAGGTACGTTCGCTGCCTTGGGTTACATATAAAAAAGGCGAGATAACAATAGAATAATTTAGACATTTGGAATATGGTTTCTAGGACTTAAACAGAAACCAAACACATTAACGTTCAGCATAAGTATTTAAGCTGTGGTTAGCGGTTGGGGCTGCTCTGTTTCCGGGAGCAAGGCAAGCTTCGAATAACCACGCTTCCTGAATAAGCCAGAATTGGCTGGATTCACCTCACACGCTGACCCGGAACTATAGTTTGGGCTTAGGATGAGGCCAGCCAGACCTGGCTCGCCTGAGAAAGGAAATGCCCGGGGTCCCATGGCAGTAGGCTTCCTTTTGGCCTCCCCAGTGGAGTGGGCCCCCAGGAGATGGCCAGGCTCCCACGTTTGCCCGGCTATCTCAGGTCCTGATCCAGAGAGCGAGTGGTGGGCAGGTGTGGGCTTGGGCTCTCCTCCTCCTCCTCCTCCTCCTCCTCCCGCCAGAGAACAAAGGCTTCTTGCCCCGTCCTGCATCTGGGACGGAGGGGAGAGTCCCTGGGCAGATGCCCTTTGGGGGCTGGGCAGATGCCCTCTCTGGGCAGGGCCACACCTGCTCCCTGTGATGCCTCCCGCTGGCTTCGGGCAGCGGCTGCTTGGTGACAGGCCTGGGAGCTCCGGGCTGTTCCCAGGCAGCCGGCGTGGGGCTGGGCTTGGGATCCCTCAGATGGCCTGTGGGGCTGGGATACAATTTTGCTTCAGGCCTGGCTTGCAGGTCGGTGGGTGAGTCAGCTTGACGCTGGGGCACCCTCCTCCTGTTGGAAGTCCTTGCTTTTCCATGTGTCGTTGGTTCGTGCCTGGGCTGTCGGCAGATGTTCTTGCTTGTCCCTAAAGTTGTAGCAGAGGTACAAAGCGACTGGTCTCGGCGTGGTCCGCGGCCGCCTGCCAGGAACGGCAAGCATGGCGCAGCCCCTGGCATCAGCAGGGTGAGGGAGGCAGAGTCTGCAGGCGTCGGGCTGTGTGCCCTGCGTGGGTGAAGAATCCCCTGTGCTCTGCCCCTTCCTGCCCTTTGCCGAGGGCCAGCCCTGGGCTCTCTTGGGGTGGGGGTGTGCTAGGACACCCAGCCAGGGACAGCTTGAGCTGCCAGAGGCCGGGCTGCTCCCAAACCATGGGCGGCCGAGCGGAGGCCTGTTCCTGCCAAGCGCGGTGAGGCTGCGGCTGCGGGAGAGCCCAGTTGGGCTCTGCTGCAGGGAAACAGGCCACGAGTCACATGGTGCCAGCTAAGGCTCCATTGGGGAGATTTCCTCTGTTTTTCAGGACTTTTTTGCATATCAGAGGTCAAGGGTGTTAGCAGGGTGAAGGGTACCTCCCAAGGCCTCCGAATCCAGGACTGACGGAGCAGCAGAGCTGCTGCAGCTGGGAGCCAGCTCGGCTTTGCCGTAGGGCCATGCGGTGCTGGGTGCAGAAGGACGGGCGTCCTGCGGAACAGGGCTGTCTTTCCAGCAGTTCATTCTGGCAGTTTTTGTGGTGTGCAAAATATTTGAATTTAACCTGCCTGTCAGAATAATGGCTGTCTTTTCTCTCTGCGTGCTGGTTATGACAAGAGTTTCACCTCAAGGGGTTATCTTAACTCGTACCCTGAATTGGAACACGATCCGATGCTGGCGCGGGTGTGCGAGTGATCCGCCTGCAGGAACGTTGCTCCTCCGTGCATTTCGGGGCTCGTTTCAAAGCCAGGCCTGTAAACAAGCCACCAGTCTTGTGAGCTGGGTGCCGTTTGCTGCCTCCAGCTCCGTCTGCCATGTTGGGGCTGCCTCTCGAACCCAGACCCGGCTCGAGTCAGCTGGCCTGCTGCAAATCTTGGAGGTGGGCCAGCCACGCTCGGCGGTCCGTTGGCCCGTCCTCCGGCGTTAATGATACATAGAGGGGCGTTTATGGATGGCAGTTTCAGTTTTCCTCGTAACTGCCACAACTCCGGGCGGGCTAAGACCCTCCCTCTGGGGGGTCGCAGGAAGGCCCGGCTTGACGACCAGGCCTGACGCTGGACGGCCCTGTCTGCAGCCCCTTCCATTTCTGCGCTGCCTCGTCCTTCCCCGGTTTGAAGGAGGAAGCTGCGTTCCTAAATCAGCGGCGTAAACGCATCCGAGGGAAATGTCCGAGTTCCGGTGCGGAGGGCAGCAATTGCTGCCAGATCTTCCTCCACAGCGGGGCTGCTCTGTGCCTGCCGTTCACTGGGGTGGGGTGAAGCCCTTTCC